TAGCTCAAGCTTCGCTCCTCTGTCACTCTGGCCGGGCGTTCGTCCTCCCTCATTTTTCTGGCACTTTTGCTCATTTTTACTTTGACTCATTTTCGTGTTTACTCACTATTCTTATAGCTTTGCAGATCTATTTTGTCACTCTCCCTCTCTCTCTCCTCCTCTTCTTCTTCCTCCTCCTCTTCCTCCTCTTCCTTCTCCTGCTGCTCCTCCTCCTCCTCCTCCTCCTCTTCCTCCTCCTACTGCTGCTCCTCCTCCTCTTCCTCTTCCTCTTCCTCTTCCTCCTCCTCTTATTCATATTCTTCTACCTTCTCCTCCATCTACTTTCACTTCACGATTTTTTTAGTTCCATATCTCTCTACACATATTTTTATCAAGTCTATTCTTTCTCTTATTTTCATCAAACTTCTCTCTCGTCCGCTTTCTTTTCTCCCCTGTTTTCCCTCATCCTCATTTCTCTCGTTGATTGGTTAATGACAGCTTAATCCCGTTGATTCATTGCATATTGCGAAGTTATGTCAGTGATGAAAGGAATGGATAATTAGTTAATCGGATTTTTTTTTTTTTTTTTTTTAATGATTTGTTAACTCATCATCCTCTTTTTTCTTTTCTTTTCTTTTCTTTTTCTCTTCTCTTTTTCTCTTCTCTTGCTTCAGGTTTTGCATATTTTGGTGTTTCATTTTCTCCTTTTCTCCCTTTTTCTCTTCCACTATTTTCCTTTCTCTCTCACTCTTCCTCTTTTTTCTTTCGCTTCCTTTTCTTATTCCTATCCCTATCACTGTCGTTATCCCTGTTCCTATCTTCCTCTCTCTTCTTCTCCCTTTCTCCATCTCCCTCCTTTTTTTCTCCGCCTCACTCTCCCCTTTCCATTTCCCTCTCTTTTTCACTTCCCTTTCCTCTCTCTTTCTCTCTCCATTTCCCTCTCCATCTCTTTCTCCATCTCTCTCATCCCTCTCCATCCCCCTCTCCCTCTTTCTCTCCCTCCCCCTCCCCTCTCCCTCTCCCTGCCTCCCTCCCCTCTCCCTCTCCCCTCTCCCTCTCTTTCTCCCTCTCTCTCCTTCCCTCCCTCCCCTCTCCCTCCCCCTCCCCTCTCGCTCTTCCTCTTCCTCCCCTCTCCCTCCCTCCCACCCTCCCCCTCTCCCTCTCCCTCTCTTTCTCCTTTTTGATCACCCAGTATAAAAGGAATTTTCCCCGGCGTTATGGAGTCTTTATCACACCAAGTGTCCAATCTTGAGTCTTCTAGAGTGTCTTTGGGGGGGGAGGTGTCGAGAGAGGGGGAAGGGAAGGGGAAGAGGGAGGGAAGAGGGAAGAAGGAGGGAAGGGGAAGGGAGGAGGGTGGGGGAGGGGAAGGGAGGAGGGAGGGGGAGGGAAGGGAAAGGGGAAGGGAGAAGGGTGGGGGAGGGAAGGGAAAGGGAGGTGGGGGGGAAGGGTGGGGAGGGGGAGGGAAGGGGAAGGGGAAGGGGAAGGGAGGAGGGTGGGGAAGGGAAGGGAGAAGGCTGGGGAGGGGGAAATGAAGGTGAAGGGAATAGAGAGGGGGAGGGGAAGGGAAAGGGACGGAGGGGGAGGGAAGGGGAAGGGGAAGGGAGGAGGGTGGGGAAGGGAAGGGGGAGGGAAAGGGAAGGGAGATGGGTACGGGGGAAGGGTGGGGAGGGGAAAATTAAGGTGAAGGGAATAGAGAGGGGGAGGGGAAGGGAGGAGGGAGTGGGAGGGAAGGGGAAGGGATGAGGGTGGGGAAGGGAAGGAGGAGAAAGGGAAGGGGAAGGGAGGAGGGTGGGGAATGGGAGAGAGGAGAAAATGAAGTGGGAAGGAAAGGGACAGGAAGAGGGAGGGGGAGGGGGGTGGGGAAAAGGGGAGTAGGAGGGGAAATGGATATGAGGGAGGGGAAGAAAAGGGAAGGGGGAAAGGAAGAAGAGGAAGAGTGAAGAAAAAGAAAAGCGAGAAGGAAGAGGAGAAGAAATTGGGAGGGAGAAGGAAAGGGCATGAAGAGAAAAGAAACGTGGAAAAGAAAGCGAGAGAAAGGGAGGAAGAAAAAAATCAAGAAACGAATCACCGGATTGAAAAAATAATAAAAATAAAACAGATAATGTAGAGAATTTAACGATAAAATAGAAAGCGAAAGGAAGAAAATACAGAAATCCATGAGAGAAAATGATCCTAAATCAACGAGGGGAAAAGAGAGAGTGAGGGGAATGAATGAGGGGAAAGCGGATGCCAGAGGAACGTAAATAGCGAGGACTAAAAGAAGGGAATTGACAAGAATTGATAAAACAGGAGAGAAAGAGAATGTGATGAAGGGAGTGGATAGCGATGGCATGGTAAAGGGAGATGAGAGAACAGATAGACAGACAGACAAAGAGATAAATAAATAGACAGACAAATGGGCAGAAAAAAACAAACAAAAAAAAAAAACAGAGACATAAACAGACGGAGGCAGAGATGCAAACAGAGACAAAGACAGAGGAACGAACAGATAAACAGACAGAGACAGAGTTAACAACAGAGACAAAAATATATAAAGAACACAGTAAGAACAAAAACAACAAAGAAATGCAAGCTAAGATAAGGTGAAGATGTCATGATGATACATTGACTACGGGTGTATTGTCGTGTGTGGGTGGGTGGGTGCGTGTCTGTGTGCGTGCGCGTGTGTGTGTGTGTGTGTTCTGTGTCTATGTATGTGTGTGTGTGTGTCTGTGTCTATGTATGTGCGTGTGTGTGTGTGTGTATGTATGTGTGTGTGTCTGTGTCTATGTATGTGCGTGTGTGTGTGTGTGTTCTGTGTCTATGTATGTGTGTGTGTGTGTGTGTGTGTGTGTGTGTTCTGTGTCTATGTATGTGTGTGTGTGTGTGTGTGTGTGTGTGTGTGTGTATGTGTGTTCTGTGTCTATGTATGTGTGTGTGTATGTGTCTGTGTCTATGCATGTGTGTATGTCTGTGCCTGTGTGCACGCCTTCCCACGTGCTAATAGAACCTGAAACCCTTAATCCAGATCTTTTTTCTCCTCCTGAATAGAAAGGGAAACGACGATGATTGATAGGAAGAAAAGAGAATAAAGGAATATCATAATAATCGAAGTCTGATGAAAACCCGATGCCAATTAGATTGCATTGAAAGGATTATATTTATGAAGAGAAAGGAGATAAGAGGAAAGGGACGAAATATTGGTTTTGAAGATTCTTATCCATTGGTTTGAACGGATTCTGAGAATAAGGAGAAGAAAATGGTTATCTTGTTATCTTAAATTGTTTTCTTGTTATCTTAAATTGTTTGTCCTGTTTATCTTGTTCTTTGTTTTCGCCTCGACAGTTAGGATGACAACCAATCACAGTGCTAATAAAAAAAGAAAAGAAAAAAAAAATAAAAGTAAATATTGACAACTACATCGATGGCAAAATTACAAAATGAAATTGAAATAAAAAAAAAAAGACAAGAAAGATTGGTTAAAGAAATTATATGATAAAAGACAAAAAAACAAATATATTGACAACTACATCGATGGTAAAATTACAAAATGAAATTGAAATGAAAGTAAAAGAAAAAGAAAAAAAGAAAGATTGGATAAAGAAACAAATAATATGTAAAAAAAAAAAAAAAAAAAAAAAATAACCGCACGCGCATTTTTAATATACCCATTTATAAAATTGAAATCGGGCAGCGACTTAATTCCATGATTTAAATTCCAAGCGTCTTTTCGTATTTGCTAAAGTGACAGACTCCGGAAAACCGTTAACCGTCATTGTATATAATTAGACATCTCGCCAGGAAGTACTTTGGAGCGGATAGCCGTGATTTGCATATCGTTAGCCTTCGAAAATCGTTTGATTTTTTTTTTTTTTTTTTTTTTTTTTTTTTTTTTTTTTTTTTTTGAAAGAAAAGAAACGGTCAAAGAATTCGTGTTTCAAATTTGAAAGTTAAAGGCGATTGGGGGTGGGGGTGGGGGGGTAGGTGATTATGTTATATGATTTTTTTCTCTCTTTCTTTCTCTTTCTCTTTTTATTTCTCTTCCTATTCCTTTCTCTCTCTCTCTCTCTCTCTCTCTCTCTCTCTCTCTCTCTCTCTCTCTCTCTCTCTCTCTCTCTCTCTCTCTCTCTCTCTCTCACCCCCTCTATCTTTCTATTCATCTCTCATTTATCGTTTCCTCTTTCTTTTTTTTATTTTATTTTTTACCATTCTCTCCTTCCATTTCCGTCCCTCTCCTTTCCCCCTTTTCCCCTCGCTCTGAATTCCTGAAGCTCAGTTCGAGACTCGATATTTATATCTTCCCCTTCCTCTTCCCTTCTCTCCCCCTCCCCCCCCTCCCCTCCCCTCCGATACTTTCTCTTCTCTCTTTTATTTTCGTGGCGTTTTCGTATTTTCGAAATGTCTCGGTTTTATTTCTTTGGTTTATGGTCTTAATTGTTCTGTTTGTTTTTGTTTCTTGTTTTTCGTTTTTTCTTTCCTTTTTTTCATTTTCTTTCTTTTTTTCATTTTCTTTTATTCATTTTCCTTCTGACTTTATTCTGTATTCTTTCCAGTTGTAGTTTTTTCATATATCTTCCTACATACGTAAAAAAAACCTGTATATAACATCAATATAAATGATTAAGTACATTATTAGATATATAAAAAAAACATTGCAGACGTTTAATTGCAATTGAATGCACGTGTCACTCTCTCCTTTTCATCTTTTATATATATTAATACTATATTCTTCCGCTTTCCATGCGAAAATATGAATGAAAGCATACGGAAAAAAATACTGTAGAAAAATAAAAAATGTATGCGCACCATTGGCACTGACCGCTCGTCTTTTTTCCCACTTTTCACCTTTCCTATATATTTACATTTTTTTCTCTCTCTCTAACTAACTCTATACGAAAAGAAAGTAATAAAAAAAGTTATCTTTAATATTCTCTTTCTTACTTTCTCTGTACGAAGAAAAGAAAGACGAACACCTTCATACTTAAATAAGAAAAATAAAAAAAAGATAACACGCTCATCTCCCTTCTGTTTCTCGTTTCCAGCACGCGGCGGGACCCCAACCTGCCCAGTCTGGCGGACGTCGACCCAGCGCCCCCGTGCTTCACTCGGGCACCAAGTTCCGCCACGGCCTCCTCCAGCTGATGATCCACACCATCGACCCGCTGCATGATGGTGAGTCCTACGCTGACGCCGCCCGCTGCTGTGTCACTATTCACCATCCCGAGGGCTCCGACGGCCGTCAGTACCCTGTCTATCCGATCTATCCCTCCGTCTGCCTGCCTTCGGTCTGTCCACGGGCACATCCGCATCGCCTCTGAGGGTTTGGATGTGGATGTGGTGTGGGTGGCGGGCCAGGCGACGGCGGGGATGGTGGTGGTGGGATCGGGGCGGGATGGTGAGGGAATGGTGATGCGGTGGTGATGCGGTGGGGGATGGGAGGGAGGGAGGGAGGGTAGGGAGAAGAAGGAAGAAGAAGGGAGGGTGTGGAGAGGGAAGGAGGGAGGGAGAGAGGGGAAAGGTAAAAAAAGGGTGTTGCTTTAAGGGAGGAAATGAATCTCAAGATAAGGGTGTTGATGTGATGAAAGGGACGATAGGGAGGGAAGAAGAAGATGATGTTATGTAATACTTTGCCATAGGAGATTCTTTTTTATTCGGTACACTTAGAAAGCCTTTTTTTTAAATCTTAGTTTCGATGTAAATGATTCCTGTCGCTTAGTAAGAGCGATAGAAGTAAGTAGTGAGGTATGCCCTAGACTTTTGCTATGTAGGCAACATGACAGAAAGTACAGTACATAGAAAATTATTTAAAAAGTAGATTACATAGTAGATTACATGACAGAAAGTACATAGATGTAATTAGAGGTTACATGACAAAACAAAAGATGTGACAAAGTAGACCTAACTGCAAGTCACACGACACAGTACACAGGTGCAGGTGACAAAAAAGCGATCATTGCCCTTAGCTCGCCCAACACACCAACACAAGGAAGTGACGAGCAGGTGGGGGGGGGGGGTCGGCGTGGGCGTCAGACCGGCTTTGAATCTCCATCTTCGACCCAGTCCTCCGTCTCGCCCCCTTCACGAGGAGCATTTCGAGGGGACCGAGGGAGAGAGGGAGATGGGAGTAAAGAGAAGGCGGAAGGTAAGGGGGAGAAGGAGGTAGGGAGGAAGAGAAGGAAGGAGGAAGAGGGAGGGAGGGAAGCAGAAGGGGGGGAAGGAGGTAGGAGGGAAGGGAAGGAAGGAGGAAGAGGGAGGGAGGGAAAATAAGGAAGGTAAAGGGAGGGATGGAGCGACGGACGGGAAAGAGGGAAAAGGAAGGGAGGGAATGAGGAAGGTAAGGGGTGGGAGGCAAGAAGTAGGGGATGGAGAGAGGGAGAAGGAAAGGAGGGAGGGACGAAGACTGGAAAGGAGGGAAAGAAAAAGGAGGGAGGAGGGTCGTTGCTCAGCCTCCTTCATAGGGCCAGCCTCTGGCACTTTTAGCATCGGCACTAAATCAAAGTTGCCCGCAATGTTGGGCGAAGGGAAGGGCGCCTGCTGAGGATGATCGCCTTTCTCCCCCCATTATTATTTTTATTTATATATCTTTTTCATTCTTCTATTCCTCCTTTTCCTTGAGCCTTCAATCCCGGGGCAAAAGCTCTCTCAGTAGCTGGGGGAAGCCGTCAGAATTGAGGGGGCCACTTTCAATCTCTCAAAGTGTTTTGCAGGCTCCGGCGCTGTTGTGAGACCGCCTTTAATCTTCGGGGCAAATACCCCTCTCTCTCCTCCTCCTCCTCGTCCGCTTCCTCCTCCTCCTTTTTTCTCCTTTTTTTCGTCCTCATCCACCTCTTCTCCTTTTTCTTCTTCTCTTTTTCTTCTTATCGGCCACGTCATTCACCTCTTCTTCTTCTACCTTCTCTTCCTTCCTTCTCCTCCTCTTCATCCTTCTACTGCTACTCCTTTTCCTCCTCCTACTCCTTCTCCTTCTTCTCTTTTTCCTCCTCCTCCTTCCCAAAATTTCCCTCTCCCTTTCTACCGTCCTTAACCCATAGTTCAACTCCCACCCCCTCCTTTCACCCACGCCTGAACCCCCCCCAACGCCTGACTCCCCCCCTACCCCGCCCCCCTCCCGCCATCTCTCGCCGCCTCCGACTAGTAGACGTAACGCGAGGGAGACAAACGGGCGGTGATGCAGCGCGCGTCTCCCTGTACACATCGCGTCACGGATGGAGGTTTCACTCACCCGGGGTTTCCCTTGTAATGCGTCTTTTGTCCCTCGGAGCTAGTGAACTGGACGCCCTCTCCCCCCCTCCTCCTCCCACTCCACCCCCCCTCGAAGGTGACTTGACCTGGACTAAAGCTGATGTGACTTGAGTACAGGCGAGGTGCGGATAGTGACTCGGCGCAACTTCCGAGTCGATGCGAATACTCAGGGGCTTCAGAGCTTCGGAGCTTCGGGAGGGAGTTGATCTGTTGGAATTACTTATGCTGATAAGTCGAGATTTTTACTGTTACAAGATAAAACAAATTAACAGATAGATGAATTAGTAAATAAAGAAAAAATCCCTTATATTCCTTGCCGATACTGATAACTATTAGAAGTGTTTCGGTCAAACGGTGATGATAATGATTCGACTCATCTCTCGCAGTCATGTGACAGAGTTCGACGTCCCACACGATCAGCCTGACAGTAAACGAGCGACGAGACAGGCGGAATTAAACGCCGGATCACTCGAACACGCTTTACCCTGTCTAACTTTAGTATGAGGAAGGGAGATGTGTTTCAGCGTAATATTCCGCGATCTGCGCTTAATGGTGATAGATATCTCGTGAAGGGAGGGACGGGGGCGTCGAAACGGAATAGAAATACCACAATAAAGCGAAATTTCGTGCGGGTACCAGAGCTCTCGCTCCAACCTCGGAATAAGCTGGTTCTATCGCGTCCATCATCGATATACGAAGATCTGTCACAGAGAAAGAGAGAGAGAGAGAGGGAGAGAGAGGGAGAGAGAGAGAGAGAGAGAGAGAGAGAGAGAGAGAGAGAGAGAGAGAGAGAGAGAGAGAGGAAACCGTCGGATCCTAACCAGATATGAACAAACCTCCTGTCCCTTACGGAATCATTCTCCCATAGTATTTCCGATGCCCTTTTGACAGCACGGCTTCCTCATTCCCTTCACGCAGCTAATGAATGACCTTAGCTGTTGACTGACGCGGCAGATCATTTTAAAATATTCAATCGCGCACTTCACTCCGACGTCCATACCCCCCCTCCCCTACCCCCTTCCCCCCTCTCCCCTTCCCTCCACCTTGCCCCCCCCCCCCCATCACCGTAACACCCGGAAATGAAGATAAGCCCAACAGCCCTTTTCTTTTACAGCTGTTGTTGGTTCGTGACGCACTTCACATGGGGCTTGGGTGTGTGTGTCTGTTGGGGCGGGGGGGGGGTCTCTGGTCCCTTTCCTAAATCCATTTCCTTTTGCTTCCAGAGAGACCCATGTCTAGGGAGGGGGGGGGGTGTTCGGTTCTGCCCTGGTTCTCTACGCTTTGCCTCAAACTGGCCTCTCTATCTATCTATCTATCTCTATTGCTATTGTTGTTTTTATTGTTGTTATTATTATATTATTATATATTATTTTCATTGTTATTATTTTCATTATTGTTATGTTATTATTATTATCATCATCATCATCATCATCATCATCATCAAATTGTCATTATCATTATTATTATTATCAATATGATTGTTATTGCTGTTGTTGTTTTGTTACTTTGTTTCATCGATATTATCACATTTATCATTCTCATTACGATCATTCTATTTCCTCCCGTCTCCTCTTCCCAACTTCCGAGGAAAGACGTAAGGCTGTTCATCGAAGAAGTTATTTTCCTTCGTTTCCTTCTCGGTCGCGATAAGCTTCAAGCTGGGTTTCTTGGTGCCTTTTCTGCCCTTTTGGTTGACTCTGGCTTTTTGGTGGCAGACTGTTTCGTTTGTTTGTTTCTTTCTTGTTCTTTTTATTTACTTACTTATTTATTTATGTTGCCTTTCTGTCCTTTGTTCTGTGTGTGTGTTTTTGTTTTTCTATTTTTCGGTCCTTTGTTTTTTTCATTTTTGTTCATCTTTCGATCTCTTCCGTGTTCTTTTTTTTTGTTTTGTCCTCTTTTGCTCTCTCTCTCTCTCTCTCTCTCTCTCTCTCTCTCTCTCTCTCTCTCTCTCTCTCTCTCTCTCTCTCTCTCTCTCTCTCTCTCTTTCTCTCGTTCTCAATCTCAGTCTCAGTCCCTTTTCCTGTCTCTCCTACCTTTCTCCCTCTCAGCCTCCCCTGTTCCATTTTTTATTTTCTTCCCCTCTCTTTCCTTTTTTCAATTCTCTCCTCTCTCTCTCTCTCTCTCTCTCTCTCTCTCTCTCTCTCTCTCTCTCTCTCTCTCTCTCTCTCTCTCTCTCTCCCTCTCCCTCTCCCTCTCCCTCTCCCCCTCCCTCCCTCCTCTCCCTCCATCCCTCTCTCTCTCTCTCTCTCTCTCTCTCTCTCTCTCTCTCTCTCTCTCTCTCTCTCTCTCTCTCTCTCTCTCTCGTTTCTTGATCATCGTTCAGATATTCAAACAGATTACGTGAAAACTTCAAGAATCCGTCTCACAGAAAAAGGGAAACAAAAAACAAATAAATGTAGTTGTTCGGCGTCTTGGCAAAGGGGGAGGGTAAGAGTGGAAGGGGGGGGGGGGCGAGTGATCTAAAAGAAAAGAAAAGAAAAAGAAAACAAAGAAAATATATATATATGTGTGTGTGTGTGTGTGTGTGTGTGTGTGTGTGTGTGTGTGTGTGTGTGTGTTTGCTTCTCTCTCTCGGAAAAACAACTGATGGGAAGGTATTTAGAACTAATAAGATATATCCATATTGATTAAATTATGAATTGATTTTTTGTCCTTCATGAACAGATGACAAATTCTTCTTTGATTTTTTTAAATATTTTTTTATTTTTGTGGTTTGTTTTTCCTTCGATACGTCACTTTTTAAGGCAATTTTTTCGAAAAAGTAAACGTTCATTTAATGTGCGTAATATTTGCGTATTGTGTGTGTTGTGTGTGTGTGTGTGTGTGTGTGTGTGTGTGTGTGTGTCTGTGTGTGTGTGTGTAAGTATGTATGTATGTGTATATGCATTTGTATGTGTAAGTATGTGCACACCCAATTTCCCATTGTCTCT